CCCAATGGTCAAACGACTACGGCATGCACGACTATGAGTACACCCCCCCCACTGTCGAAAAAACAAAATCTCGGAGGTTGGTAACAAACCCAATTGAGCGCCAACCTTCACGAACGAGTTAGCATCGACCACGGCAAGGAAAGCAAGCGAGAACATCGGCGACAACATACCCCGCACCCTCTCGACTGTTCTGAACGAAGGGTGCACTGCCACGCGGGAAGTGATAGGGGTCCAGCTGCTACTCGTGCGGCAGGTAGGCGGCAGCAAGACAAGAGCGAGGAGCGCACCGATACACCCGCCGCAACGGGACGACAATAACGAAACGATTGCCACAACGTGGATTTTTTTCTGGTCGGCTTGTTTAGCTCCGAACCGAAAACCTGGGGTCTCCGTCACCAACGCACCTCCGGAGAGTGCACACGATAACAACTTCAACGTCTCTGCCGTCCTCCCTTCCCTCGCACAAAACCGCATCGAGGACCATTCAACGGAGGAGGTAGGTTTCTGTGCCAACATCGACGACTACGGAGCGTGGCTGGATTGAAGCTACCAGCACGCTTGCCGCTGCTCCGAGAAGCACACTCGCTACTAGTACTCCAGATTTGGAGAATGTACCGACGATTTGCCGAGACAATACGCGCTCTGCGCCAACACCGCGGGCGGTGGGTGGCTGAGACCGGAGTCGACCAGGCAGACTCACGGTTCCCACAAGCTGCGTGCATGAACACGAGACTCAAAACTCTTTGGTATCTAGAATACCGTTGTGCTCTTTACCTTGGTCAACAACCCCCGAAAAAGCTTCCCCGCACACGATAAACACTGTTCGCCGTGCCTCACCTTGGCCATGAGTAGGAGCTTGCGACCACTCGACTTGGTGAAAACATTCTTGAAGCTCTTCGTCCAGCCAGGCGGGTACTGGTGCAGGTGCTGCTGCTGCTGCTCCATCCGAGGCGGCAGACGAAATTCACGACACAACCACGCACGTGTGCATACAACGATCAATGCTCAGAAACCTCCATACACCTCATCATCCGGGTGGTGTTCTGACCGAGGGCTACCGTTAGCTACGAGCGCTTCCCGACCACTACCCACTGCGGCTGCGTCTACCGAGCGGTCATGTTCCTCCGACGAGGAGGAGAAAGGAGGACGGCGCCTACGGCGGTGGAGGTGCAGTAACGGGAAAGCCGCGACCAAGGCAACGGAGGGTGTTGGCCTAGGTGGCGGTGGTGGTATCGACAGTTGGTCGATGTGCGGGTGCGGTCCTTAGCAGTTGCCCTGTACACACGCACACACACACACACCCTGACTCCCCTTCCGCCCAAAGTAGAATCCCGAAAGGCCTAAAACCACACCGTCTGTGTTGGAGGGAAGCAACACACACCGGCTTCCACTGGCTTAGTGCCTCGCCGGAGCCCGTGTTCTCCTGCTGCTTTCGAGAGAGATTGTTCCTCGCCTGTGCTCTGCGTGCTTCTCGAGCACCTGCGGGTCAACAACCGCAGCGGAGCCAGTTCACCGCCTACGCTTTATACTGCAACCGGCAACATCACCTTCCTCGCTGTACACGAGTAAACAACCGCACGGAGCATTGTTGGATAGGTAATCATCGTTATCGACGATACCATAAGAACAACAACAGGGTGCTAAAAACTCTAGAAAAAGCACTCACACACACACACAGACTGACGTCTCTCATTGGTCAGTCGGCTAGCGCGGTCGATGCCAATAAGAAACACACACACATCACGTCGACATATTTCCTGGTGACCGCTGCCGAATAGCCGAAGTCGAAAAAATAACCCAAAAAAAAAAACACCCACCCTGGTGTCGGCATCCCCCGTAGCGAAGAACGCCTCGTCCTCCTCGGAGGTCTTCGCCGAATCCACGGAGCCCCTCCCCAAGGGTGCAACGAAAGTCCCTCCGTTACGGTTGAGCCCGGCCGTGCTGGTCATGGTCGTCTCTACGTCGGTCCCACCACCACCACCGCTGCCTTCCTGGAGAGCTTCAACTCCCTGTTGATCGGGAGGGGAGGGGGTCGTACTCAAGTTTTGCATGCCTTAGCGGTTACACCATTCGCTACGTGTCTTCTCGAGAGGAGGGAGTCCGTGCGGGGTTCTCAGACCGCACCAACATTGATTGCCGGCAAGCCGAGGAGGTGGGGGTAAGTATCGTCACTTATTTGTCCGTACATATGATAGCGCGTGCAAGACCACCGCATCCGTGGCGGCGTGCCCCCAGGGGATGAAAAGAACGCCAACGCTACGCGCACGTCTAGCTTGTTCGTTCGTTCGCGTTGGCCTTCCGAGGGGGTTTCGACCCGCCGTAGGTGGCGGCATGTGCGCGATATTTATTTTTTACATGATCGTTGTTGTTGCCAGCATGGCGGTGGCGGAAATACCGTCTTCGCCGTGTGTGTGTGTTTTTTTTTTTTTTTTTCCTTTTTTTATTCTCTTTTTACATCAAATGTTGCATGATCGTTGTCGTTGCCGGCAAAAGGCGGCGGGAGAAATATCGTCCACTATGTAACGCGAAAAGGGAGTCTGTGTACCCGATCCCAACGTGTCGTCGATAAAAACTCTTCCCCGGGAACAGAGAAGCTCAGCGTAAGTTCCTGCGAAAAAACAGGGGGGTCGATCTTGACCTATTGTAGCACCGGGAAGCAAAGAAATTCTTGCGAGCACCTTGTTCGCTGTAAGAGGTTCCGCATCGTCTGCAGAGGCTTGGACGGGCACGATGTATCCCGAGAGAGGGTGCTCGGCGACGACGTAATCGGCATTGGCTACCTGCTCTCAGAGTGTGACCGTAAAGAGGAAAAAGGGGGTGGGGGGTGGGGGAGGGCGGCATCGAAGACTTGAGTGGGCGGAAAGACAGGGAGAGCGAGCGGGGGAGACACAGAGAGAAATATAGAGAGGGGGGGGAGGGAGAAAGAAGGAAGGGAGGGACCCAATTAACCAGGCCAAACGAAAACGA